ATTGAACCCTGACCCTCTGGAAATTAGCAAATTTTGGCATTCATCCTCGCGCACTCAGCTACGGCCTGACATGTAAATGTGCATTTAAATGTTGAGTTTGAATCAACACCACGCGTGCGTGTTATGAAAGTATTATTTTTAAATACGAACATTTTTAAACGATAATCAAATAGGGTGACAGGTAATAAGGTCAATTGACATTATTACCTTTTCAAAAGCGAAATAAAGTCAACAAAAATTTGGAAATAAAGTCATTGACGCTAATTCCTCATTCAAATGGAAATAGCGTCAACAATGCTTAAAGTATGTCGATTCATAGAAAAAAATGTTGTTCTTACAATAAACATTGCCCCGTAAGTGTTGTTTTTTGATAGACGAAAAAGGTTATTACCAAATCCTCAGTGTTGTGATATTAATCCACACACAATCATGAGCTACCACCAATTGATTTTATTAAAAAAAATTAGAATACGAATATGTAAAAACACGATGCGAAAAACTAAACGCCTGCGCACAGCTGGAATACGAGAAATATTTGAAGAAAGAGTGTAGAAATGATCCATAACATGCAAAACATGTTTCGTTTCCACAAAAATAAAGCGAACACTATTAAATTGAAGAAACAGTCCATGTCCAAAAACCCTGAAAGAATTCTGTGTTTTAAATTAGCATGTTTTGAACGAATTCGGAATGTCTAAGGTGGAAAAGAAACCAACCTTTCTATAAGGAAACAATTATAGAAAAAGAATTTTCTTACACTGTATTCATGGCTCCGCCAGAAATTTGTGACGACATCATTTAAAAACAGCTAAGGATAATGACGACACTATTTATTAGATGGCACATTCAACGAGCCAATGTGCCAAAATGCGGGTATAAACAATTATTGAACCGAGATCATATAAGTTAATTGATTGGTTTTCACACACTTTTGAAACACAAATTATATTATTTTTTACTGCAGACAAGTTGTTGCCCCAAAGCACAGCAGAAATCTTCCAATCAGGGCTGCCAACTATCCTTAGATACGGGGTGCCATATTGAGGATAAAAAAGTGCCAAATAGAAAAATAAAAGTGCCAAAAAAGGTGTCATTCCTTTTAATCATTCACATTTAGCAATAAAATAAAGCTACATTTTCCAAACAAAAGTGCAATGATAAAATAAGATCAACCAGTTGAATAGCCTTTACAAATTAGAAAATTTTAGTTGAGAAAAAGAAGTGCACGCAAAGGATTTCACAAAAATGTATTGAAATGTTATTTTTTTTTTTACAAAAGTGCCATTTCGGCACTTTGTCCCAAATTGAAAAATTAAGTGCCATTTGAAGTAAAATAGGGACAAATGGCACGGTTTGAGCC